CGGAGCGGCTCGAGAAGCGGACGCCGCCGTCGCTGGCGGTTAGGAACGATCAGAAGAAGAAGACACCGAGTTCTCTGAGGAGATCTGAAAGGACTAGGAACGGTTCTCCTTCTGCTTCTTCGGATCCTTCGCCTTCCAAGAGTTCGGGCTCGAAGAGGCATTGCATTGGAAAGCGTTTGGCGTACGAGGCTAACGACGAGGATGAGGATGAGGATGAGGAGCGTGACGTGGAAGTTGAAGCTTCTGCAGGACTTACAAGTACGAGAACGAATGCGCGCGTGTATCGTACTTTTTTTGGTAAATCAAACAGAGGTAATGTATCAGGTTGCAGAGTGTTTGTTTAATGAATTCAGGTTTTGTTTGGATAAAGTTGTCTAGAAGCACTTTTAGTAAAAACAAAACGTATAAATTAATTTTAGTTTATGAAAAATCTTATCTCATTTTTTTGAAGTAGTTTTTTTATCGGGATTGTAGGGAGAGTGGTTATGAATTGGAAAGTGGTAGAGTTAGTTAGAAAGTTTAGTGGGGGTGGTTATGAGTTAGTTCAGATTAGTCACACTGTTATACAGAATGAGATGGTTAGGTGGAGTTCTGTTATTGGATTGTTACTAGTTACATCTTGTCATTGTTATCAATTATCAATGGCATACGGTTCTCTATCTTTCACGCACTCAATTCTCTTTGGCTGTGATGCCTTTATTGGTGAAGATGGAATTTGTGGTTGGTCTATCGATGGTTTGTTTGGTTATCAAAATGTGGGTAATTGAAAATGTTGTTGAGTGAGGTGTGCTAGTGTTAGCATGTTGTTGCTGTTAATGTTCTTCTACTTTTAATTTTTGACTGCCAGGTTGCCGTGAGAAGACAAGTGGGGTGGATAGGTCATCTCAGGAAGGTGATGATGGGGGTGGCAGCAAGATTGATGGGGACAAGATTGATGAGTGCCTTAAAGGGAATTGTTTAGATTCTGCCGATGATTATAAGGATATTCTGCCACCTGAAGATGATGTCACCAGTAAAGATATGAGAGTCGAGCCCGAGTTGAGTGGGCCTGTGAAAGAAGTGATAGAAAATAATGTGACTGTAAATTCATTGGCACTGTCTAATGCTGCAACTTCTGAGCCCAGTGAGACAACTGAAAGGGTTCAGTTGTCTAATGCTGTAACTTGTGAGACCAGGGGGACAACTGAAAGGATTAGGTCATCTAATGCTGCATCTTGTGAAACTGAAAGGGTTCAGTCTGATTCCTGCAAAGAGGAGACATCACAAATGTTGGGTTCCACAGCAAATGAAAATTTGATTAAGAAATGTGTTGAGCATGATAAGGGTGAAAAATCATTATCTTCCAAGAGAAAAATAACTACGGTGGACATGCATTCAGATGCTTCTGCTATATTGGTTGACAATGATAACAACAACATGATTGAGAAGGATGCTCCCCCGTCTAGGATATGTGGCAATGTTGTGGAGACCAGTGGGTCATGTTCCAAAAGGATAAGGTAATTGTTAATTTTTAACAAATAATGAGGAATTAATCTATCCTATTCCTGAGTTAATATGAAATAAGAGTATTAATCCATTCTATGCTGAGGCCAATTGGCTTGTTTTGTTGCTTTTATTAAGTTTAGCTTTCAAATAGTTTGCTCTTTTCTTTTTTAGAAGATATCTTTCTCTGTATATTAAAAATAAAGCTTTGCATTTTTTGTTCTCGTCTCAATATGTCTTTTCTACTCGAGTTTGTGATTCATGTAACGCAATATTATAAATAATCAAGCTTTATCACTCTTGGGCGTAGGCTACAAGGGTTAATTGACATCATAGACAATGATTTAGATAGATGATCTAGGGAAATTTGGTGAAAATGAATGAGTTGAAAAAGTAAAGGACTAAAATGAAAAAAAAAAATACTGGGACCAAAAACTTAATTAAACCATGATTCTTTTGTTGTCAACTTGTCATACTGATGGGTAGAAAAATGGAAAATAAATCCAAGAGTACTCCTCCTGCTAGCATGTTCCCCTGATAAACCTAGAGTGCTCCTGTATGGTTTAGTGCTAGTAAACGCGGGAATATTGACTAAAGTTGTTCAAGGTTTATGATGATACTCTATATATAGCCCAACAAAACTTAAGAAAATAAAAGAATAAAATCTAAACTAACCAAATCTAGAAGATAAGGCTAGATCCCTAATGAAGAGAAATTTCAAAATTAAAAGACAAATACTAATTCAAAATCTCTAACTAATAGCTAATTAGATAATAATAGTCCAATCTACAAAGATGTTGGTTTTGTGTAATATTGTATGGAACTATGGTTGTTTTTTCTTTTCGGTTGTGAACTTTTTTCTAATAGTCATATGACCAAGGAAAACAGAAAAGAAAAAAGGATGAAGGGAATGGTAGTAAAGTTAAAGTGAATCTCTCTAAAATTGCATTGATACACTTCCTCACTTTCTCTCACAGTAGCAGTAAATAAAGGTGAATATGTGTAGTATTATTCAATTATGGTAATGTTAAACAATTAATGGATCACCCTCAAAAGATGAGAATTTACCCCCAGCCTAAGCTTCAAATGTAGGTACTCCCCTGTCACAAATTTTACTAATAGAAATACACATGTATGCCTTCCACTGACAGATTTGTCCCCTGCATACCTCACCTCAATTTTCTCTCCTATGTGTCTTAAATGACTATAATTCTCTTGCATCCCCCATGTGCTTCTCGACCTTCTCCTCTCGTTGAACACCTTTAGCACATCTTATGTTGACCTTCCCAGACTTGTGCATATACCTGTTAACTACTTGGGTTGTTGATACTTTCTCCATTTAGTTGTTGAGTTCCTAACAATTTTTAACAGCATTTAGTGATTATGTTAGGTGGTATGGAGCTGTGACAACAATCTCGCTGTTATATATCTTTACATATTTTGATAAGAAACTACCTGGCTATTATAACTGCCTTTAGTTTCTCTGTGTAGATTGTATAGCTTATGGGAAATGGGGCCTATCAACACATTTGATACCATTAATAAGATGATATGCATAATTGCTTGCAAATCAATTTTTAGGTGGATTAAAAATGATTCTGGTATCATAAAGAAGAAAAAACCTTGCCTGCCATTAGTTTTGGCCTTTTGGGATAAGCTTATCTTGTTAACCCCGAAGTCTGTTTGAAATGTTCTTTTTAGGCGAATCTCCTTATCAGATGTGAAAAGGGATTGGAGGAAACCAAACTATAATGTTGATCAGCCTTCTTCAAAATCTAATGGTGAAAAATCATCTACTAGGAACAAGGAAGGTTAGTTATCTCCATCATCATTAAGTTTCAGTTTGTTATGAGTTTTCTCAGTTCAATGACGTGGACAAATAGTGAGCATTGTTGTAGCCGATGTTGATATTTCCTATGGGAGCTTGACACCATCAGGTACTTTTTGCAGGAATTTCTGGAGGTTCAGTGGGTAATGTCTCTTAATTCTTGTCTAGTTCAACTGCTTGTGTTTGTAACAATGTTTCTTGGAAAATCTGGAGATTTAATGAGGCAAGGCAGGTTTCTTGGATAGCTTCTCATCTTCTGAGGAGCCTCAATGTTGATGTGGTGGTTTTGTCTTATACTTGACCCATGAGGCATTCACCTCGGTTGTATCATGAACTTTCAACCATAATGACAGCTGTTTTCTTCCCTTTTTGCACAGTGAATGTGCTTGCATTTGGTAAAGACAGAGAGGTATAGGTGGTCTAGAGTTAGTTTGAATCTCTGGCATTACTTAGCTTATGGTCTTAGATTGGGGCCTGTGCCACTGAGTTGCAAGTTCATTGGTGATCAAAATGATACCAAATCCTTACTGAATCACTCTTATCCTAGTGAGTGTGAAATAAGAAGGTATAGAGTAGTCAACCTGGTCTATCTGAAAGTAGATATGAAAAGAAAAAAGAAAAAATCCCTCAGGGTTCTGACAGTGCCAGAGGAATAATATAGGTGGTGTCTCATATCTTTGATGAAGATTCTTATCTATTTCTATGGGTTTTCACTCATCATACATAGCTAAGACACATTCTGATAATTTCTTTTTCCTTCTTCAAACTGAAAGTACGAACTTCTTATTACCAAACAAAATCCTGATAATGCTGCATACTTTCTTTATTTCTTTTTCTTCTGTCCCTGACTTTTAAGATTTGAATTAACTTGTTTTTCCTCATTATTTTCCTGTCACAGCCCTAGAGTTCATTTGCTTTTTTCCCCTTCTCCCACCTCTCCAAGTCTGTTTGCCTCACTTTCAAAAGGCACTCACCTTGGCTTACTGTCTCAAAGTGAGGCAGTTTTTTTTGTGCTGCCTTAACTGTCATTTTTTCTCATGAAAACACTGATTGATAATTTGTTCCATGTGAATTGCATTTCTTACTCATTTTTTATTATCAAATGACAGGCTCGGACTCAGAGAGGCCTCAAGGGAGCACCGTTGAAACTGAGAAAATAAGGAAACAGCAAAGGAGCTTACATCTTCTGCTGAAGCCAGAGATAGCAAATCTTTGTGAAATTCTTGGTCTCCCTGTACGCAGCTTGTATTCTTTTAGTCAAGTTATACTTGCTGTTTGTTTTGGATCCAATTATAAGTGTAGAGATAGAGACCTATATTGCTTGTTCTAGACTGACAGCTACTGTACTGGGTCCATTCTTAGAAACAACAATCAATATTAATAAGAGCTGAAAATAATTAATGAGAACATATCTCCGATATGATGCTCTACTGCTGGTTTGCCAAGGGTTTGGTGTTGATTGTTTGATTTTGTTGGAGTGGGCATATGTTGTTGATGGATTACTTTGTTGTATTTAGTGACTGCGAAATGCATTAAAATAGCCATATAGTGAAATTAATACTGCTTTGAATTGAAGATCATAAAACCTGAATTCAAGATCATGAATCCATGACCCAAGGAATATGGATTTATTGTTTTCACACACACACACACGCATATATGTATGTATGTATGTATATATATATATATATATATATATTGTTGAGAGTGATGGTGAATGAAGAGAACATATTCCTTGTGTATTGCAAAGCAAAAGATGTGTTTAAATACAAAGTAGTGGGCGTAGGCCCATAAGATAAAAACTATAAGATAAAAGACTATAAGATAAAATTATATCTAACATTCCATTCAAACTGGTGTATATAGATCATATGCACCAAGCTTGTTACAAA